ACACACACACACACACACACACACACACACACACACACACACACACACACACACACGGGGTACTTCAAAAAGTTCACAGAAAGATTCATATTATCTTTTAATTCTATTATCCATGAACTTTTTGAAATACCCTCATATATACCTTTAAATGGATGCAAGCTGCTTCTTTGTATTTTTTTTTATTTCAAGCTTGCTAACTTGCCAACAAAAGTGCCAGATACCACTGGTATGTAAATTATCTCATTGGAATTAAACTGGACTCTGACACTTTGGTTCTTTACTGAGGTGAAATTCACACAATGTAAAATTAACCATTTTCAGTGCACTCACAATGATGTGCAACCACCACCTCTATCTAGTTCCTAAACATTTCATCACCCCAAAGGAAACCCTGTACCCAACAAGCAGTCACGCCCCATTGTCCCATCTCCCCAGACCCTGGCAACTGCCAATCTGCATTCTATCTCTATGGATCTACCTATTCTGAATATACATATATAAACAGAATCATGCAATATGTGACTTTTTTGGTCTGGTTGCTTTCACGCAGCACAACATTTTCGAGGTTCATCTATGTTGCAGCTCATGTGAGCACTTTGTTCCTTTGTGCAGTGCAGTCATATTCCATTGCATGTATATGCCACATTTTGTTTATCTATTTATTCATTGATGGGCATTTTTACTGTTTCCACCTTTTGGCTATTGTGAATAGTGATGCTATGAGCATGTATATACATGCATTTGTTTGAATACTTCTTTTTAATTCTTTTGAGCATACACCTAGTAGTGGAATTGCTGGGGAGCAACTGCCAAACTGTTTTCCACAGTCATGGCACTATTTTACATTCCCATGAGCAGTGTAGGAGGAGTCTAGTTTCTCTACATCGCCACCAACATTTGTTATTTTGAATTTCCTCTCTTTACAGTCATCCTGATGGATGTAAAGTCATGCTTCATTGTGGTTTTGATTTGCATTTCTGTAATGACTGACAATGTCAAGCATCTTTTTACCTGTTTATTGGCCATTAGTATATGTTCCTTGGAGAAATGTGTAGTCCAGTCTTTGCCCACTTTTTGATTGAGTGGTTTGTCCTTTTGTTGTTGAGTTGTAAGAGTTTCTTATAGATTCTGGATACTAGGCCCTTCTCAAATATGTGACTTGAAAATACTTCCTTTTCATTCTGTAAGTTGTCTTTTCACTTTCTTTATAATTTCCTTTGATGCACAAAAGTTTATCATTTTGATGGCATCATATCAAATAATCCATTACCACATCCCAGATCTTGAAGCTTTACTCTATGTTTTCTTATAAGAGTTTTGTGGTTTTAACTCTTATATTTAGGTCATTGCTCCTTTTTGAGTTCATTTTTGTATACAGTGCAAGGTAGGGACCCAACTTAATATTTTTTGCATGTGGACATCCAGTGGTTCCAGAACCAGGTGTTGAAAAAACTATTCTTTGAAATGGTCTTGGCACCCTTGCCAAAATTCAATAGGCC